AAGGGTCGTGTGTGTTTCGGTTTTTCCGGCTATTATCAAGACGCCGCCCGAAGGTAGTGGTGGGGGTGTTAGGGGTTCAGTTGGTCCCCCCCCCCCCCCCCCCCCCCGAGACCGTGGCAGGTGGGTTTTAGAGACCATTACAGATTGATGATGTAAACTCACAGGATGAAACCCATTAATTTCTTTTGTGTTATTGTATTTAAAATATATATTTTTCCTCCTTATTTCATATATTAGTCTTAATATACTTACTGACTTCATTAAAATGTATCTTTCTCTTTTCATCTTTATCCACTCTTTATTGTATTCCTTATACAAAAAGAGAGGTCGTTAGTAAGCGCCTATTTAAACTCTTTATCCGTTTTTCTCCTAAATGTTATCGTATCCATATTTTTCCCTTCCTTTTTTTTGTTCTTTTATTTCTGTTTATTTTATCGTATTTTTTTCCCTTCATATTTCGCTTCTGTTGTTTATTTATGCGAAATAGTCAACCTTATTATATAGGGACAATAAAAATAAATGTTAAAAAAAAAAAAGACCATTACAGATCGAGACAGACGTTGTTGATATGCCACCAAAGACTATATATCACTAACATGTCGTTAGAATATATGAATTATTATTGCAGTTCTATAGGATTAAGTAGACAATGATGAAGAAATATATCCCAAATTACATCGAATGAAACAATTTTTCATGTGATTAGCAACAGCAGCTACATCGTGTTTCACATTTTAATCCCGCAGGAATTGCGCTATTTTATGATGAATGCAGCTAGTGTTTAGTATTCTCTGAATCAATATGACGATGTTCAAACGGAAATCGCGATTAGGGTGTTTAAACGCGGTTTTAGAAATTCTGGGTACTAAATAATTCTAATAAAGAAAGATTTTCTGAATTCTATTATTTTAAATATAGTTATGACGAATGGACAAATAGGAGAGAAAGATTATCAATAAATAATAGAGAAGAAAGCAAAAAATAAATAGTCATTATATTTTTACATAAATTTTCATCATATCTTTTTTTGCTTTGTACATAATAGATCTGAATGTCAAATCAAGTTTTTATCACTTCACCAAAATTGCTCCCGCTACAAAAGTCATTAGCAGTGTTGGTAAGTGAAAAATATTCTCCAGAACAAATTGATTCGCGTTCTGAACCAAATACTCCTATTGGTCAACCAACACAACCTTCAAATGATAATAAATCATCAAAAATTAAAATAAATTCTTCTATACGTATAAATCCACCACAGCCTATAATTGATAGTTCACTCGATTGGGATGATGATGATCAATGTTTTGGTCATCGTTCAACATTTATTCGACGTCAACGTCAAAAATATAAAGAATCATTTTCTCGTATTCGAGTAGATACATTACAACACGGAGCCATTTCTTCTATTGTTTCAGCACCCATTGTTGAATTATCTGCTCCATTAATAGGATCAAATACAACTGATCATTCAATAGCCTTAAAACGTGAAGAAAGCACAGATTCAGATGTCATTCAAGGTCAAACTTTACTTCATCTAGCTGCTAAACTTGGACATGAAGAAATAATGCGTATGCTAATAAGCGAAACATCCCATGCTAATATGTTATTAAATATAAGAGGACAAACACCATTACTTTGTGCAATTGAATATGGTTCAACATCAACAGCAATACTATTGATGGAACATGATCCATTGTCTTTATTATGTAAAGATAATATTGGTTCAAGTGTATTTCATTATGCAGCTGAACAAAGTAATTATATTGTTTTATGTCGAACTTTATCATTACTCAAACGACTTAGTTCAAGTGCAGCTCGATTGATTGTAAGCTTATATTAATATATTTATTTATTTTGATCAAATATTTTCCTTAGGCATTACAACGACTTATTGAAAAAAATTCTAATGGTAAAACACCATTTGTAATTGCAATTGAAAAAGGTTCATTAAAATGTATCAAATATATATTAAGTAGTAAATGGTTACATCGAAATGTTGATATAGGAGATTTTATAAATGCTGATTCACTAAAAGCAACTATTGATGAGCATCAATTGGATATTGCAGCATTTTTTGTATCAGATACACGACGTATTGCAGCTATTATTCAAATAAGAATTTATGCTAATGGTCGAGTTTATAATGTACTTGAATATTCAATAGCATTAAAAAAACCTGATTTTGTTCGAATATTTATTAGTGTTCGTATTCCTACTGAAGAACATGAACTCTATCGATCGTATAAATATTTTTTAAGGCATTATAATGTTCCTTATTCGGGTTCAACTTATGATCAAACACCTATACAACGAATGTTGACTATGGTAAGGAAAGAAGTAAAAAGAATTATGAACTTTTCTTTTCATCACATGGGAAGTTTAAGTATTTTTTTCTACGATCGACAGATTCATTGGCTTTTAAAGATTAACAGTTTAGATAATATTATTCAATTTAATCAACTGGCAAACTTTCGAAAATTGGAAGTAACATGAAACTGTAGTATTCTTATGATCGATTAAGAACGTCTATTGCTTTGTCGGAAGTTTTTAATCGATTTATTTTTATCATTTTTCAGTTTATAAAGTTCAAATGAACAAAGAATTAACTACAATTCTATTTTTTTAAGAACGTCATGATCATCCATCGATCACCCATATATAAGAGAAGGGTTCGAACTTGATAGTAAAGCAAAGACAGGTCTACTATTGAAAATAGCACGATCGATAGTGTGTCAAATAGAAGCGTTTTATTCCTGCGAAGTCTTGAATTTTCCAGACGCGCGCAAATTTTCTCTGAGTGATCAACTCAGAAGTGTGAGTGGACTCAATAACCGCACTCACACCCAAAATGTGATTTTGGAAAATAGATGAAATTCCGTTACAATCAGTATTTTTTTCGGTCTTTTGTTCGATGTAATCATGCATGTTTAAAAATGAACTGATATTCTGAAAGCTTCTTCTAAACTGAACAATTATTTATATATCGCTTCGTTTTTTTAGTAAAATTTTAAACAAAAGTAATCCCGTAACAATCAGCATTGTTTGAATATGTCCGTTGCAGCTAAAGAAAAATGAATGAAACTTTGACTAGTAGTAGATCTAAACGATCTCCATTTCAAAGTGCTTGATTTATTATCGTGGGGATATAGATGCTACAGTAGCCAAAAAAAGCATGAAGTAGCATAACACTTGACCACGCCAAAAAGTAACAGAATTATCTCATTGTATACATTTTTACGAAACTTTTTTAGATCTCTTAACCAAGTACTATATTTGTATGAAAAAGGATCGTAATTCAATTATTTTAAGCATTAATTTTCTTCATCATCTTTTTACCTATTCCTCCAAAGGCAAACGAAAGGAAGTACAAGAATATAGAGATATCAATGAAAACAAAAAAAGAGAAAAATATGTGACCTGCTCTTTTATCAGAACTCATCT